GCACTTGCCGGTGAAGACTGAGGCAAAAAAGTCATTGAGTACCTCTGCCTTCTCCATATCCCAGGTAACCAGGTCTCTTGTTTCGTTCCGGTGCGGGCCCACATTTTCCCTCACCTTCCTTTTATCCTCGATGCACCTATAGAAACTTTACTTGTTGCCCTTGATGTCCCTGGCCAGATTTAATTCTATCAGGGCTTTAGCTTTCCTAACTTGATCCCTGGCTGCTTGGAAAATTTCTCTGTATTCCTGCACATGTATATATGTATAAAATGGGATTAATGGTACTTCCCTCCTGTACACAAATCTAGCACAGAGTACAAGAGGGCCACATTTTACCACCAAATGGATGAAGCACCTAGATGCACTGTCACTGCCTGCAAATGTTCCTGTTTCATCTGCTCTAGAGAAGGCAGCCAAAGTCACCTGGCAGTATTGCATCTGCCTGCTGCAGGGATCTCCTCTACCTTCCTCTGAAATATCTGGCAGAGACCAAATTACCTGAACCTGATCTTATCTTGCAGGTCCTTGTTAATTGTAGCCTAAGGAAAGGTAGTTTTGCCAGAGGCATCCATTTCAGGGCTTCGTCAGGAGCCCAGCTCCCTGCACATTCACACTCTCTTGGGGCCCAGGGTCCAGGTTTGGTATGTAAGTAGGATACCTGAAGTTAGACAATGCAACACTGCTTTAAATAGCTGCTGCATTTTCCCAGTGTGCTTAAATCATACTGTTTAGGGGAGCCAGGGTTGTATGTGTGCATATGCCTGTTTGTCCATTTTAGTATTATCTAGCATGCTTTCAGGAATCTAAAAGCACTTCTGTCAACAGCTGCTGTTTCATCCTGTGGTGACTCCAAAGGTACCCACAATGATGCACGGTGCAGCAGGGGCCTGGCCGAATGGAGCAGAGAGCCGTCTCCCCCATTCAGCTCAGCCTTCATGACCTGGTAACAGAGGAGGGCCAGAAAGGTATTTGTGCCCTCACAAACCTTTGGCACCAGATGGTGCTGATATGGGACAGAGAACTAGGACAAGCTGAATTCAGGTCTATTTTATCCAAATCCTCAAAGGCTAGTTGTGTTTGGATTTGACAGCAATTGCTTAGGCCCCATAGGAAGTGTCTTACATGGGTGCACACATGATCACGGTTTGGTTACTTGCTAGAAGAAGGTATTGCACCTCTGAGGCTTGCCTGGGAGATGCCCTCACCTACCCCAGAGTGGCATAGCTCAGGTTGCTCCCATCGTGTAACTGATTTAATGGAGAAATCACTGGTTCCTCCTCTGCTCTTGTAATTTGTTCCTCTGTTCACGTGTGCTTTTGTGTCATTCTAGGTGCTATCCCTGTTCCCGTGAACATGCATGTAGTCAGTGTCTATACTTACTGCCTGTGCATAGGCGCCATACGCTCCAAACTGGATGGCCATGGGGTTGAACATGCCCATTTGTCCTGCCATTTGCTGCATGCGTCTCATTGTACGCTCCTTGTCTGTATCTGCAAACTTCACCACCAGGCTTGAAGAGGCTCCCTGCAGGACAGGAAACAAAAGGAAATACATGAGGGAAATAACCAGCTACACACTAGCTCATGCAATCCATACATATAACATGGATTTGGTAGCATGGGATCCAGCTGACGCTGATTTATCCCATGCAACCTCTCAAGCCTTTTGAATTGGACATTTTCAAGAGGCTGAGAGCATCAGGAAGGAAGGAAAGCACCCTGGAGGGTGAATGACTGAGGCCAGCAGCCCGGTTCCTAGTTTTCTCCAAAATTCAAACTTCCAGGCTGTCACTAACATTCTCTTTGCAAAAGTTGTTGCCTTATTCTTTCAACATATATAAAACCTTTTGGCCCAGCAGGTTGTCCTCATCAGAGGACAAAGATCTGGACTCAGTGCAGCAAAATGTAGGAGCCTTTGCTGGATAACGTGGTAGGATTTGTGAACTGATTTATTTTGGTAGAATCTGTTAACTCTGTGCATGCCAGCCCCCCTGAGCTGCATCACCCTTTCACACTGCCTTGTCTTGTAACCCCCATGTCCAGCGAGAAATCCGTGCCCAGCCTTGGAGACAGGATTCAGTATGCTGAGCAGAGTGTATGTCTCATCACGAAGCAGCATCTCTTCAGCACTGTTAAACTAGGGGAGCAAAAATAGTGCCTGATGGACCTGAGTTTCCTCTCCATGAACAGTAGGAAATAGAAGCTACCACAAAAGAGCACACATTTAAAGTTACACTCTTCCAGGAAAGCTTTACAATGTTTGGGCTATGTCTGCAGTCAACACTGGTGCAGAACTACAGATGATCATCAGAGCTGGCTGCAGAAGTCTGTGAAAAATGTAGAGCTTTTGGGAATGAAAGAAATCCCTCTCCTCCCCAAAATGAGATGAAAGGTCAGTAACTGCGATTCTTAAATTTCTGATAGGAGGCAGAGATGGGAAGAAATAGATCTGCTTAGGAAGGAAGGCACTGATGTTTTTTTGGCTGGCTCCAAGGACGTCCTAACTTCATGGGTTGGTTGATTCCCCACAGCGTGGTCTCCCCAGGGGAAGAGGGGTGCAGTGGAGGGGGGATCCAGCAGCAGCCCCGACAGCAGGCAGACAGTTGCCTCGGGAGCTGGGGAGCCACTGAGCCTGGGGAGATGGGCAGGTGAGCTGCCAGGAGACTGACAAAGAGCAGCTAAAATCATCACGCTCCCATGGTACGCTTCCCTTTTGACACACTGGTATTCGTTGATGGAAATACAGTCAGTGGGGAAATTGCCAGCTCAGCCTCCGGCTGCGGCAGTAGAGGTAGACCAGCTCTGTGCCAGAGGAGCTGGGCTCTTGTGGGGCCCTCATTTTTCTAGCAGAGGTGGGATTGCCTGGGATTTGCACAGGGACAGTGTTATTAAGTGGCTTACACACACCCCTGTGTACCTGTAACCAGAAAAAAATAGTCTCGGTGAAGGCAGAGTTGCTCTGCTACAAATTGGGAATAGTGTAGTAAACCACAACTATGGACGTACATATGCGTAAGTCCAAGCTATGCATATTCAGTAGCCTCTCCAGATCCTCAGTAATGAATAAAGACTTGAGGAGTTAACATGCTAAAAAAAAAAAACCAGTCTAAGGCCACACAATGAGCGATGTTCCCCTGGATTAGCAGCCTGTTCTGGGAGGAAGTGATTTTCATTGGCAAAGGATCTTTCTTTTTGACCTGTTAGTCTCTCTCTAATAAATCTATAACCCACTCAAACAATGTGGTGAAGAGCAAGGGGTTGAAAGAAGTGCTTCAGGAAAACAAAGGGATGGAGAGATGAATGCTCTATTCAAGGGTGGAGAGCAGTTTTCAGAAGTTATTATAAGAGCTAAACAGAAAGTGGGGGGGAGGGGGGGGACAGAAGAAAAAAAAACCTAGCCAAAATTCCGCTGTATTTCTGCTCAAGGCTGGGCAACTTTTAATTTTTTTAAATCACATGATGTAGTTATTGATCTTTCCCCAAATCACACTCCTAATTGCAGCTCATCGACAAATGAATATTTTAATGCATACATTTCCTGCTAATTATCACCTGGACTAGTCCTTAATTAGATTTCAACACTCATTTAATTAACCCTGATCCAGGAGACTGTTTGGTAACCTGAATCTAATGATTTAAACCTATTTGCAGCTGTATTGGAGGGAGGCACTGGTTCACAGCAGATTGGGCTGTTCAGAGCTGCTGTCGTGATTTGCAGAGCAGAGGCTGCAGCATGGTGGGCACAATGCAGCATGGAGGATTTTGAAACTGAATATGGTGAATGAGTATTCATCTCTGCAAATGGGTTTTGAAGATGTGACCTGTTCTAGTTAACAGGACAGAGAGGTGTAAATAACTTGGTGCCTTCTTCCTTCCCCTTTCTCTCTCTATTTGCCCTGGAAGTCTTAGGGCCAGAGAACTGCCTCAGGAAATTGCTGATGCCTCACGCTGTTGAAAACCAAGCTATTATTGTAGATGGCATCATGAAAACATGGGTAACCTCCACATGAAGTTCTTGCCCCTGGAGCGTTCTTCCCTCCTGATGTGACTCGTAGTGACTGCACAGCAGCTGTTTGACCCAATGGGATCTAAGACTGCCTCTTATGAGATGTTTTTCTGGGTTGCCTGTCACAGCAGGACTTCGGGCCTCTTTGAACATCACTATTGTATACACAGGGCAGAAAGGCCATTGACAAATAGAAGCAAGTTAAAGCACACACTACAAAGGAAGAGGAGAAAAAGGAGGGTTTTTTAAGAGCGCTCTGCAATGACATGCGCATGTAAGCAGTTGAAGATATGTAGCCAGTAGAGATGCTGCATTGCTTTTGAATATGAAGATTGACCTTGGGATTGATGCTTTCTGTATGTGGTTCCTCATGTGCAGCCCTTTCACATGGCCCAAAGGAAATCAGGCAGTAAACTCTATCAGATCACACAGTGCAGGATTTTTAGCAGAGGAGCCACCCAGTGCTGTTCATCTACAAGCAGCACAAGACTACTTTCTACTCCAGTGACTCCTACTAACCCACTGGGTAACATTAGAAATACCACAGAATGGGCCAGATTTTCCATGGGGTAGAAACTGCAGAGCCCTTCATCTGGACTATTTATTGCTTCTACTAGCAGTTAAACCATGGTGTAAATCAGCCGTTGTCTGCTGACAAAGTCAATAGGTCCTGTCTGCTAGGTCATTTATTAGTAATACATAATCTCCCTCTTGCTTTCTCCAGGTGTTGGACTGGACCTTATATTTTGCCAACCCCCAAGAGAGTTACAATGGGTAAGTCAATAATGTTTGAAATGTACTTTGAGATCTGTGTGTTAATTCTGCATTTTACTGAGGGAAGGACCTGTTTATTTTTCTACCCTGCAGATCCACAGTCAAAAGAGACTATCATGAAAGTGAACAT